TCTTGAGAACTTTCACGTGAATAATTGCATTTCCAGAAGTAGTTGTAAGAAGCATACCCATCTTTTTAGGATGCCCCTTGAAGGAACGATACGTAACACAATCCATTTCCAATTTTGATTCAGAAATGGATTGACTGCACAATGTCCAATGAGACTTTTTGGAGTATTAGCTTTTAGAGTAATAATTCTGATATACAGATTTCATGAATATTTTGGTGCAAACGATCCAAGTTATCTCAAATATATGAAAAATGAAATTATTTTTTAAAGCAGTCTACAAATCTCTGATAAAATATGAAACATACACATAGTGTACATCCACTTAAAATGCAAACAGCACAGAACTTTAATGTCAACATAATGCAACTATTTGCCCGCAAAATATACAATCACTACACTTTACAGTATATCCTGTGAAGCCCTTTGAGATGTCTCGCAGACGTGATAAGGCGTTGTATTAAATGCAAGGTCCACTAAAATAACTGCCGATGTGTGAATCTCTTTCCAGATTAGCATTGATTATAAATGCAGTTCTCCTATTCTGAGCACTTTCTTCCTTTAGCTGATTTACACATGTAAAATATGTGAATCATGGGATTTATGTGTTAATGATATTATTTCATAATTTAATTAAAATGTCAAACTATAATTACAAAGTGAGCAACTACATATATGGATTGGATTGAACGAATACATCCATTTTCAATTCTCCACCTTACCACGACAGCATTTTGACATAGCAAAGAGTTTGAGTTACGAAAGATGCCATTTGCAGTCGAAAAATTGTTGAAATGCTGGCAAGGTGTGACTCCTATCTGCCTTGTATATCTACAGTAGTTTAAATCTGGATTTACAGTTTTTTCAAAAAGATATATTCTTTAATTATACATTTTAACAATCACATATTTATTTACAAATGGTAGATTTTCAGTAGGTTTCATCACTGCAGGAAGGAGAGAAGGAGAACAGATCTGTGAAGTCAGATCAACTTGCACCAAAGTCTTTCCCTTCCTGTGTCCATCTCATTGAAAGAAGCAGAACATTGAGTAGAAACAATTTATTTGACTATTATGAATCAAAAAACCCAGGTAAACATAATAAATTACTCCGGTATCTTCTTTGTGAGCCTTCAGGGGGAAAACTTCATATATTTCTTCTCCATTTCTTATATTTAATTGGATTGATGCATTTCAATATAACTGGAATCAGCTAAGTCAAATAGCAATTTCTCTGTTGCTATGCAGTACGACTGCTTGATGCATGGGGGCTGCATAGAGTTGGACATGTAATTTGATGACAGTTGGTGGGAATTACAGTAGTTTAAAAGATCAAAACACAAAGTCATATTGTGCTTTATGAAACCCAGTTTGACACAAGGCTCCATCGTTGTTAATTTTCCTTTTGTTTGTCTTCAATTTCTTCATGTTTTTACTGTGTTTCTACTCCGTTTTCTTCAATGCTCCGGCTATTTGAATGGGATCAAAAATCATTAGATTTTGTATTATAGGAAAAACGTTTTAATTTAACTTTTTAACCAGCATAATGTTAGTGAAAAAGGTTAATATTGTGTGGATCTTGACCTTCAATAAAGAAGCATAGACCCTCCATTGTGGTACCTTATACCTTTAACAATGTTTTAAGCAGAACTGAAAACACTGTGGTTGTGGCTGTATTATCCATTTACTTTAAAATCCTTCCATAAGCAGATTGATGCTTCATTATTTAAAAAAAGGTAACAAATGAAGGTTTCTTGACGCAGCATCACGAAACACACTGCATCTTGCAATTCTAGGATGTTAATTTGTGCTCACAAAATCCCTACACGTTCCATTCTTGATCTCGAGGAAGACACTGAGTAAAGGCTAGCAGGTGCTTCACCACAGGGAGAGAGAAACAAAATCAGAGGGTATGTCACAAGGGCTGTTCTTGTGCAACACTGGTAGCAAGTTAAAGAACATGCCATTTGCCTAAGCAACTGCACAAATGTCAAGTTTCTACATACCCGAATGTATTAATATAGATAATGACAGGGCAATTTTTACTTTGTCATGGTGTATTTAATATGTTAAGTTCAGGGTTATTTGCAGTCATCTCAGATAAACAATTTATTGGAAGTGGTGAGGATAAAAAGCACGAATGTGCTACAATAGTTTGTGCAGTAGATTGGTGTGTAAAGTGCTGGTTTGTGGCTACAATCATCCCAATCAAGGGAAGTTAATGAGCAGAGTTGAAGTGGTTTCATACAGGGTGAGAGAATTGTCAAGGCAGTCATTTCATCCCTCTCTCTTTGTGTCCTGTTACAGAGTTCACCAGCAGCTCACTACTATTATTTTACAATTCTCCAGAAAAGTATATATTTGCTGTACATTGTTGTATATTCACTTGGTTCTATGGATTTCTGGATCCGAATGGCTCGAGATGGGGTCTGGACTGGTTCCTCTTATGATACAAACTGAAACCATTCACACACAACTCTTTCCCACAACATTGTATTGGATGGATAAGAATAGCTTGTTCCCAGAGTCCCAACCTTGCATCTTCCCAGGGTTTAATCACAACACAGTTATATTAGGTTAGATTAACAATTTCAGGCAGGAATAGTCGTTTGGTCCATGATACCTACCCATCCAATTCCCTAAAAGGTTATTTCCCTAAACTTTCTCTAAGTTTCATAACCTTGAATTATTTTATGCGACAGGAAATTGTCTAGTTACTTTTTTGAAACCCTTTCATACATTTTTTGTTCCATCACCTTTGCTGTTAGTTTGTTTTCCTGCCTTTGTTGCCTTTATTTTGCATTTATGACCATTGTTTCTGGAATGGTGCCCACAGCAGAAAATTGACTTAAATCCAAATTTTCCACACCCTTCATTATCTTAAAAAGCTCAATCAAATCTCCTCTCAGTCTTCCATGTTTTCATTTTCAAATGTCTTTTTTTAACAGATAAACGTGCATGTTTGTTTCTGTAGCTGTGGAGAGTATATTGAAAGAAAGCACGTCCCTTAAGCTTTCCTTTTCATTGAATGTGATGGAAGATATAGGAAAAAATATCTCGGGACACAGTATATAGTCTGGGATATGTCAAGCAACTGCCAGGATGGTGGAAATCGAACTGGATGGACCTTGGTCTTCTTTCACCAAGCAAATTCTTATGTTCCTATGAGTCCGTTCCACACACATTATTTACTTCTTCTAATTTCTATTCTCATTTCAGATTTTTAAATGTTGTACTCATGTCCTCTGGTTCTGCAATCACGGTTCAAATTAAATAACTTGATTACCTCTGCATAATGCATGCCTTCTCAGAATATTCAAGACCAGTTTGTGCCCTCTCTCTCGAGCTTTCTCCAATGAAAATAATTCAATTCTCTGAGTCTTTTTTAATAACTTAATGACAGAGATATCTTACCCCTGAAAGAACTAATGGAAGGTGGATCTGACTGATCCCTGGAGGTCGGCTAACCAAATTGTCAATCCCTATTCTTGTTTCACTCCCACAATAATGTGTATTATTAAACAGTTGTATCTTGTTAATAGCAGTCTTGCTGTGAATGGTTGTTCTATATCTGCTTGCAAATTGACATTTCATGCAAGCAGATTCACTTCACTGTCTAACAATAATGATAACAGATCTATCAGAGGCTATGCAATTGTTTGAAGCAGTACTTCATAAACACATCCTGATTGCTCCATGAAGTTATTGGCATTAAAGCTGTAATCAATAGCTCCTGGTGTCCACGTTCACAAAGTTTTCATCAATGACATCAGAGAAGTGCATGTTTGCATGAAATGTGGATCTATCAGCTGTTATAGAGAAGCCATTCACAAGATTATGTTTCCAAGGTTCAAAACTGTTCAAAACCTCTGTGTTAATATGTGTTAGTTTTACCTTTTTGAAAACATTGGAGCCTCTGTATTAGAACGTTGTGAGGGTTCAAGCCCCTTCACCAAAAATTGAGCTCATAGTCTATTCTGACACTACAGTGCAATATTGAAGGAACACTGTATTATTGGAAGTGTTGCCCTTTAGATGTGGCATTGAACTGATTCCTGACAACAGAACTCTTTGTTATGGTGTGCAAGACAGGTTACGTGTCACAGGGAGCGGGGGCAAGGGGGCAGGGTAAGAAATCTCCCTTGTATTTTCAGGGTTTTTTTCTCTCCTTTTTATTGCTGGACTCAATAAAAAAGTATCTGTTTATTCGTCAGTGTGGAAATAGAGAGTGAGAGACTATTAGCTGGTGCTGTTTGTGTGAACTTTTGGAGTGAATTAAAAATGCTTCAGTCGATTGTATTCAGGAGCAGACTGGGTTCATGGGAACTTTCCTGAGTGATGCTCTAAATGCTTCCTGAGCACCTGTGTATGGCTCCCAATTCTTACTACCCTTAAGCCCTCTGAGACACCGACCAGCGTGAAGGGCGCTATATAAATGCAAGTTGTTGTTGTAGTTGTTTTAAACGGGTGGCTGTTTAATGCTTTTTGGTGCCCAACACAAAAGAATGCCTCCATTTTATACTGATTGTATTGCACGTGATTTCCTTAAATCCAAACTAATTTCATATTCCCCCAAATGTGCTCTCCATTTTATTTGATTGTATTGTATTTTATTGTAGGAATGGTTGGTAATAAAATCAGGCTGGTTTCAGGAGTGCTACTTGGTTGTTTGTTGACTGACATGCTTATATCCTACGAAGGTGCAGTGCATCCATAACCCCATCTCCCCATCCTCCTTTAATTTCTTTGCAGAAGTTGGACAGCCTAGTTATCATCACTTAATAGTAAGAATACAATTAAAGCGAGGCTCACCTACATACAGTATCTATAACTCTTCTTTCAAACATTTCTCAGCCACAAACAGATTTGATGACTGTTTGTGCCAACAGTTGAGCTCGCTCACATTCTCTCCACGTCTCCCAGCTCAGGAGGGAACAAGGCAAGGCATTACAATCTTAGGCGTATTGTGTTTAAATATTTGAAGGACTACAGTTGGTGGATTGTTCCCGCTTTATTTGAGCCAAGTATATTTTAACACACTCAACAATGATAACCAGACTGGCTGCCTCTTGAACTGTTGCATAAACCGTTGCTCGTGTTCTTTATCAGATTGGACTTTGGAATTGCCTGGATTTCCTCTTACAGCTGCCCGGTGCGGTTCATGAGCCACCAAAGTTACTTTACTTCGGTTCTCAGCTGCTTTCGGAAGTTCCACTTCGTCGGGTCTCACCATGTCTCGAATGCTGAGCAGAGATTTGCCTGATATTGAGGTAAACCAATTCTTTGCTGAAGGTCACGACTTAGTTTTTCTCAAAGGCTCCAAACGCGAACCTTGTATTTATCTTCATTGCATAAGATCATTGCAAACGTTGCAAGAGTCTGGATTCTGCCTTTGAACAATGCTAAAAGAATAATAATAATTTGGTCACTCAATCCACGAGTGTTTGTGGGACACTGCTGCGTGCAATTGACTGCTGCGTTTCGCCCACAAAATATACAGTCAATTCACTTTACAGTATATCCTGTGAAGCGCTTTGAGACTTCTCGAAATCGTGATAAGACGCTCTGTCAAATGCAAGGATTATTATTATTATACTATTACGTTTTGATGGGGAACTTACGTTTTCTTTCATTTAGTTGATATCCTGGAGAGATCAATGTTACAGCTTTGTGGTTGGGTAAGGAGCAAGCAATTCTTATCCTTCCGATACAGTGGAGTTCAAATCTGTTTATTCCCCTTAGTTTTCGAATATAAGCAGATTAATACCTTTTGAAAGTACAGTGAATGATGATAATGATCAATACTATTCACATTTTTACGTCCAGAATTCTATTCAGTGAGAATGAATAGCTTTTCTTTGCAGATTTTGGCATTATATTGTAGCATTTTAGTAATACAAGTTAATGGATGAGAACTCACTGTTCTAAAACAGTCCTAATCAGCAATATTTCATAGCTCTCTCTGGTTGTGCGTCCAGGTTTATGGTACAAATCGGTCCTTTGTTTTGACTCATGCTTCCTGTTGTCTGACACTTTGCTGTATTTCCTAGGGCAAGTGAATATGATAAACATCATTTATTTTTGATATTGCTTTTCTTGAAGTCTGTTGCTGACACATTTTGAAAAATATTTCCCCTTGTTTAATATTTTATTATTTTACAATGTTATGGAAAATAGACTTCTCCCTTCTATATAAACTAGTTTTCCTTTCCAGTCATCATGCCAAACTGAATCATGATGACCTTGTAGAGAATGTACTCACCCTGCATAACAGCTTGTTTGGTTTCTCCGATCCTAAGGTTAACTGTCTTCTAGGAATTATGCTGACAGTAACAAAAAATCTATAAACAGACGCAAGGTTTCTGACCCCAAATAGTTGGAACAAGGGGAGTGACGAAGCTATCCAATGATCTGAGACCATAATGCCCACCCATTTACTGAGTATTCGTGTTTCTCTAACTTTGAGCTTCATTAGTTCAAACAACTTCATAATGTGTCTCTAACATTTCCCCAATGTTGGCAGCAGCATTCAATGTCCTTAAGTATAAAAATAAATCCTCACAGATTTCTATTTTCCTTTTAGACAGTGTTCATTTTAGAGATGGCGATTTTAGATGAGTCCCTCTGTAATCCATATTGTTTTACCTGATGATAAGGGATGTTGTGTTTTATCAATTTCTTCCTGTCGCAGTCCACAAGTCAGACGCCATCTATGTGTCTTTCATGATTACTAGTCTGTCAGCTTAATCACTTAACAATATTTAATTGGATCTTAACCAAATTTGATGAGGTGTTTCTGTTCATCAGACTTGATTACTTTAATTTACAGTGAGGCCTTTAAATTTTTTATATATGCATTTATTCTAGGCAATAATCTATAACTGCTCCATTATAATTTAATCTTTGTCACTCCTCCCCCCCACCCCTCCTTTCTATAACAGGTTATTCATCCACTAATAAGATGGATTCAGCAAAGGATGTGTTTCTGAACAAACTAGTTCACGTCTTATGTTAGCTGACTAATGTGATTCATTCCACCCCAGTACTCTTGCACAATTTGCGCTACATTACTAAACATATTCACCATAAATGTTGCCATTTATACAAGTGAGAATAATCAACACTGAAAAATCAGTTTGATTACAGTTTCCGTTCTTGATCGGTTGGGTCGTCACCAAATAATTCCATAACGTGGGTCTAAAAAGTCCCGTTTGTAACAAATTGTAAAATTTACAAGTCGCAATTTTTTTTAAAAAGGGGTTATTACCCCTGGAGAAGTGATCTGCCAATCAACTAACAACCGGGTTCCTACTTACTGCTAGGTAAACAGAGACGTGTGGAGTAAGGAAACTTGTCCAACGTTTCAACCTGCCCAGGAACTGAACCCAGGTCCTCTCGCTTGCAATGCGAGCGCTCTATCCACTATGCTACAGTTTCCGCTGAGTGAGCCTTAAATAATGCTGTTGCTTCTGTCTCTAATCAATCACTTGACAAAACATAAACTCTTCTTGGTGGGAGGAGAATCATCCGCCTCAGTTGGTTAGTGCTCATTTTAAACCAGTGGCACACAGCTCTTGGGTTGCAAGCTGAGTGAATAAGCATTGAAGCAATTAGCATATCATTTGAATAGTCCACACAGCATTAGTAAATTTACAGTATGCAATATGTTCTCTTGTAGAGGAGCTTTCACTCGAGCACCCTGAAAGCCAGTAATAGCTGTGTGCCTTCTGCCACACAGTTTCCCTGTTTGCAGCATTCTGACAGGAGACACCTGCTGCAGAAGATTGGAAATAGATGTATCGTCCTTAAATAATGAACTGTTCATTTAATCCTGAACTGATCACAATCTTGCATCATGTTGTGTCCTAGATTAATAATAATAATAATAATCCTTGCATTTGATATAGCGCTTTTCACGTCAGGAGGACGTCCCAAAGCGCTTCACAGAACACACTGTAAAGTGAATTGACTGTATATTTGTGGACGAACGCGGCAGCCAATTGCGCACAGCAATGTCCCACAAACAGTCGTGGATTGAAAATGACCAATTTAATTATTGTTTTTGGTTTTTGGAGGGATTATTATTAGGCGTGTGGAGTAAGGAAACTTGCCCAAGGTTTCGCCCTCTGCTTTGTGAGTATACAAGCTTTGATGTTGGATTCTTGCTTGTGTCCATTGTGTAATTAGTAACAGTCAGGCAGGAGTGATCCACTAGTTCAGATGACATTCTTGTACTGAAAATAAAGCTTGAGCAAATACTGAGGTAAGATAACCACATGGTAAATACTCTCAGTTGCGCAGTTTTAACTTGTGGATCTCATGACATAAGTTTAATTTCACATGAACTCTTCTAATGTTCAGGGTTTAGTGCTTCAATATTGGATGCAAAACGTCAAAAATAAGTAAGCACTAGTATTGGAGTTTCTACCCCTGAAACCTCTTAGCTAAATTGGAAAACATAGTGCTGATGAAATGGGATATGCCATTAGCAGTGAGCCATATTTTATGTTGATCTTCTGTCTAATTTAGACACCTTTCTATGTTTATTGGATGCTTGAACATGTAGAATCCTCGTATGCAGATCAGAAATACAAACTGCTGTACATCAATTCAATAACTGCAAATGGTAACAGACATGCAAATAAATGTATGACACAGACAGGAAAATATTGTAAGTGTATTTTTTGTGGTGGTGCCTCTTAAAACTTTGAAGGAGTGGAACTGTGTTTGTTTGTGTGTGGTGTGTTGAAATCTTTTTTAAAGCTGATTTGTTTTCAGTTCCTACCATCATTGTCAGTTTTGCTATTGTCTATCTGCCTCATCTAAATGATCTTGCCTACTTGAGAATTCTATTGACGTGCAGTCAGGTAGCAAGGTTTATTGTGCAGTTTGTTACATGCCTATAGTGCCTTTTACCATACGTTTAAACTGCATAATTCATCAACACCCTGTTAATAGGGTTGTTTGTACAAAGATTTGGTATCAAATCATAATTCAACCATGTCTCATCTTACCGTGGCAACTATTACGTTCTAACGAAGTGTAAAGAAATTTAGTGGATGCTTAAATTGTGAATTAGGAGTGCACGGTGCTAAATGAATGTCGAGTCCCTGAGAATCAGCTGCAAGGACACAGTCTGATCAAGGGTTTCAGATGTCACTCTAAACTATAGAAATACTAGAGTGAAGGGTTTATAACTACAATTTGAGCTACAAGATGAGATCACTCTCTTGAACTCACTTACTAGTATTGTTTGTTATATTTCTAATTGCATGGATATATGCGGGTCATGAATTTTTCCCAGTAGTGCGGAGCAGAATATGAGCCAATATTATTGTGGACCAAATCATGTACAGTACCATGGAGGTCAAGTGGGATGGTTTGATTTTTCAAAGCTTAATATCTGTTGCCATGACATCAGCAACTGGCCGTAAAATAAAAATTGCCAAAAGCACGAATTCCATGTGGGCAGGTGACTAATATAAGGAAGACACAGAGCAGTTAGGTAGCTTCACCGGGTATTCAAGGCTTCACCTCTTAAAGGGGAGGTGAGCTGTAAATAGATAGCCGCCGCCCCCCTGCTTCTCACGGCGTAGACACCGATGGACCTCTCCATTGGAGTGTCAGCTTAGACCAGGGTGGTCCAATTCGTGGCCCTCAGCAGCCAAAATGTTGGACCACCCTGGCTTAGACTATGTGATTCCAAGTCCCAACGTGGGGCTTGAACCCACAACCTTCTGCCTAGGAGGTGAGAGTGCTACCATTGAGCCGGGCTGACACATTGCGTGTGGATATAGAGTGAGAACAGCATTGGGTGCAGCTGTAAACCCTTCTACGGCCAGTCAACACTCATCCGCTGGGCTCATACTTGAAGAATGGCCACCTGGCTGAGGTACCAGAAGGTGCCTGTGGACCCATCCCCCAGACTCCGTTATTGTCTTATTATTATTATTAATATTATTATTATTGTGAAGCACTTTGAGACGTCTCGACAACTTGATAAGGCGCTATATCAAAGGATTGTTATTGTAGGATTATTATTGCCCTCAGAAAAGGCTTTGCTGGTTTTGCTGTAATATGGTCACATCCCCCCAAAAAGTGATAATAATAATAATTTGGTCACTCAATCCACAGCTGTTGGTGGCGCACTGCTGTGTGCAATTGGCTGTCACGGTTCCCCCACAAAACATACAGTCAATCACTTTACAGTATATTGTGTGAAGCACTTTGAGATGTCTAGAAGATGTGATAAGGCATCTTATTGTGATAAGGCACTATATCAAATGCAAGGATTAGTATTATTATTCGCAAATGGATTTTTATCATGCAGAAATGTAATGAATATTGGGACAAAAAACATGTACACATTGAAATACCTTTCAAGCAGAGAAAGAAAAAGAGTTGTTGTAATCAGTAATCTTCCATTTATTCAGTCAGTGAAAAGCTGAGATCAACACTTATTTTAAACATCTATAGATTACTATTGAGGTCAATTTTCATGAAGACAAATTATGAGAGCAGACAGAGGTGACAAGTTTATAAGTATTACGGTAAATGGTAGCTGTTCAAAGGAAATTGAAGTACATTGGTCTCAATGAGACCAAATGCAATAGATTTTTCCCCCAAATTTCTTTGCTGGGAGAGTGTTGCTAAACTGGTGCTTTTATTTTTAGACTCCAGAAAAACATTACTGAAACTCGTTTTAAATACCCAGCTTCAAAATTTCTGTTATGATCTTTCTTTTAAAAAAAAAGGATATTTTATTTTGTATAGAGGGCATTCCTTTCCTGACAGATCATCATTAAGTTTACTCTGGAATATCTGTGACCGGGCATGAGTGCTTGCACAAAATGACATATTGATTGAATATTGCACATGTTGCATTTGTTCTTTTCTTTTGTTTTTCTTCCCAATTCTGCTGAGGTTGCAAATTCACAGTGGCTGCAGTTCATCACAGTGACATAGTGTTTGCTATGAACCTTTATGATCAATAACTAGAAGTATTTTCCATCAAGGGCAAGACACTGTAAAACAGTGGGTCCCTGGTACCACTGAACTTTTGGCAGAAAATCTCCTAAAGAAATCATAGTGCTTTATTGAAGGATGCATGTAGCATTGCCTTTCCTTTCATAAAGTATTTGTACTTCAATTCATATTGAAATTACAATGTCATATTCCCTAATATTTTTATGAATCAGAAAATACATGTTTCTCCATTTTATATTAAGTATTTAGTTGCCATTTTTTGTTAAGTACTTAGTTGCCATTAACAGGTTGGGTTGTGCACATTGTATAGTATGTGTGTAAAATGACATTGTGAGTAAAATGGATATATTTATCAGCACAGGTGATAAATGGAGTTCCACCTTTAACCTTTTATGTTTCTGCATCGTGCCTCAAACATTGCTGTTCTTCTGTCAGCAACTATTCAACAGCCAACTGATATCTGGACGGTCATAATGAACAGATTTATTTTTGGTCTCGTTTCTTCGATTAGGTATGAACATCACAGCTTTATTCAATAATTACTCCTGCAGAATCTCGGAGTTTGATTATAATCGTACATAATACAATCTATTTTGCTCAGCAGAGGGTGTCCCTCGTAGTTCTACACTCCACAGCACAGTAGATTGTGTTCCAGCTTGTTGCGAATTGGTCTTTCAGGTTTTTAAAATTCTTTTCAATTTGATTCCCCAATTAGATAGCTTTTCGGGCTATTTTTGCCAGCTCCCTGTTTCTAGTTCATCATCCTTAAGAAGAGGCATTGGTGAAATAAGAAAAATAATAATATTGGATGACTTGCACTTGATGTAGCGCCTTATCATGGTTATCCAAACATCTCAAAGCGCTTCACGGGATTTTACTGTAAAGTGCATTGTCTGTGTATTTTGTCGGCAAGCGTGGCAGCCAATTTGCAAATTTTTGTGTTTTACATATGTGCCAAACTAAATGTGATTTTCAGTGATGTGCTGAGGGAAGATATATCAGTCTTTCCTCACCACGTCACCATGCTACCGGGAGTACCCAATGTGAAGGGAGATATATAAATGCGAGTTGCAGTAGTTGTAAAATGATTCAGCAGTGGATAATGTTAATTTTGCTTTTGTAGCAGAATGTGGAGGCAACTGCATGATAAGAGGGCGGACTGATGTGGAATGGGAGTGTTATGCAACCTCTGTGGATTTAAGACCAACTTCTATCAAAATATTTATTCTACTTTGTACTGTAGAGAACACCGTGTATTATCTTGATATCCTGTAAAGACAACAGTTCATTTTTTTTCAAATCAACAGGAAGCAAATAGTGATTGATCTTCACGTATTTCTAATTCCACCTGCAAAGCTGTTACCCCAGTTCCAATGGAGCGATGCAGTGTTAGAGTGTTTAAGTTTGTCTAATTCTGGGTACATTCAGTCCCAGAAACATAATGTCTGACCTGAAAGGTTAGATGTTTGCACCTCACACATGAATGAATCAGCAATAAAGCTGTTTCTTTCTCATTTGTTCACCTCCATGTACGGTTAAGGGCTTTGGTTGCTGCATGGAATAAAGATGTCCTTAGTGCTTTGACATCAATATGCACGTTTGGTGTTTTCTCTTCCAATTTGAACTACATTTAGCTAATTTAAAAACTGTCCACTTAGCTTATCTAGATACTCTTGGTCTCTCATCTCCTGACTGCAAAATTCAGCATCATCCACTCTAAATGCTCTACCGTGTATTTACAAGCCGCTCAAATAGAAAAGGCCTCTGAACATAATTCTGCAGAATTTGTCTAGACATTAATTGACATTATCATTTTTTGACATGTGACCTTATCGTCGTTCTGTTCTCAAATTTTTGCAGTTCGGTATTATAAAGTTGTTAACAATAAGTTGTTATTTTCTGCACAAAGGAGAATCTTATCCCAAGGAAGAAATAGTCTTTATTGTGTAAGAGGAAAAATGAAAATAATCCTTTTCGGCTATTATTCTTTCCCAAACATGATGAGTACATCCACCCGCTTATGAACTCTTTGCTGACATCCTCAAGTTAGAGTTTTCACTGCTATCCCAAAAAAGCAATTGAAGTTGATTTTCTCAATACCATCAGGAAAATGGTAGCAAATACCTTTGACAAAGTCAAGTTGATTTACTACGATAGTGCTTACTTTGTGCTTACTCTTTGAACTTTAGAAATAAACTTCATTGGATTATAAATTTCATTCAGTGTTATGATGTTAAGTCTCAGTGATCTGTTTATTTTTCTTGCTCACCTAAGAAAATACCAGGACCGGGCTACCCTTTCCTGTTTGTTGCTACAACTTTATGCTCTTGCACGTTTAACTGTAGACATCTACATTGCTTCACTGTGGTTTGAGGGCACAATGTCATTATTTAAAACTTCTACAAAAACACAGGACTGGAAGTTAATTAACTATATTATGCAGTGAAAGAAAATGCTTGCGGGGGAAATGAAGTATGATCAAGTTGCATAATGTAAATGTACTCTGCTAAATCTTTAACAATTATCTTTGATATGTGTTGTCAGGAGGAGCCTATTTGAAAAATATTCCCTTTGGCCTTTTTAGTCTTTTTCTAAGAATCATTATTGTGTCTGTCATCATGGCACAGAGGTTCTGTAAAGGTAGTACAGTGTAACAAAGGATTTTTCAACAATACAATATGTATTAATATTCTATAGGTTTATTTGAATGAGGTACACCATCTGTACTTTCAAGGGCAAATTTGGATTTATCTAATTTTACTGGACAAGACAAATCACTGACCAATTAAATGGCGAGTGTGCCTTTATGAAATATGTTTAATGCTATTTTGGTTAATAGGGATTCTGATTTATTTTAAGTTGCTCCAATATACTTGATCATGCATTGCACGAATGCAAAACAAGAGCAGATCGAAACATTTGCTGAAATGCAGTAATTTGCAATATCTGATCTATATAGTATACATTAGTGGACGGAAATTCTCCCGCTCGTATTATCCTCTTGACTCTATTATACATATGTAATGCATGTGAAAGAAAGGATACGTTAATGGTCAAAGGAAGGGAAGCTGAAAAGGCTCCAATAAAATATTTATTAGCAAAATATAGACAGTGTGGAAAATGTCCATTTTCCTTTCATGGTTAATTAGAATTAGAACTCATTAGTTATTCCAAATGATTACCTAGTTATTTGCAGTACCAATTGCATATAAAAAACAATAGTTTTTTGGGGGGGTGGGAGGAGGAGATGGGCAACAAGAATGTCACGAAAGACATGAGGCTGCAGCATAAGATTGTCAGAACCAAGTGCTGTCTTGATCGAGGTAGAGAAGCTACATCAAAGTGAGATGTCTGCTCTGTACAGCAATATTGTGCTTTAATTGGGGTAAGTGCAATGTGTAATACTACACAATCATAGGATGTGAAATCCATCTCATCCATCTCTATTAAAGCAATCCATAGATGTATAATTCTCATTAAAGAATTGATTTAATTCATTGTAAAATTACAAGGTAAATTTACCTTTTACATCTTTACTAATCCATCCTCTGTTAGACAACGGTGTGGTAGCAGTTATTTGTATCTACTTTATTTCTTATCAACAGACTTGATGGTTGGTTCTCTACGCAAGCAAACATGCTCGGAAATATATGTAGGAATATGCACATATGCACATAATTAACTGCTCAATGTATTAAGGTACATTTAAATCAAAGACTATTCCAATAATTTATAATATAGCCGCTCATTATCTGTCCAAAATGAAAATGTATTTTAAGTATCTTTTCGTTTCTAATTTTAAATCAGCTTTTTTCGAAAATGTATTTTTAAAACTTATTTCTGAGATTTGTTCAGACATTGAGTGCTGCTGACGTCCATCTCCTTTTAAGTAGTTTATAATAATAATAATAATCCTTGCATTTGATACAGCGCCTCATCACATCATCGAGACGTCTCAAAGCGCTCCACAGAATATACAGCAAAGTGTAGTGATTTGAGTGTTTAATGTTAAGTAAGCTAAGGTGTCACTGCAGCAGCATGGAAACTTTACAATTCATTTTTTGATCTATTCTCTCTTTGATTATCTGAACCCAATACTGAAACACTTCTGTGTCTTGTAGAATATTCTGGCATTAAATCCACGTGTGAAGACGTGCGCATCTCTGCGATCCACAGAAAGAACCAAGAATGTCAAACAGCATTGGAAACGAAATACCAACAAAAGCTGCTCAGTATGTACTTTCTTTATCTCTTTCTCGGTTTTTACTCACTTATGCTGTTGAAATGTTTAACAAGCATTTGTTATTTGTTAACTGCAGGGAATGTATATGGGTAATTCGATGGCTACCTCCCGGAGAGATTGTAAGAAGTTAAATTGATCAAGGAATTCTGAGTTATTTGGTAATCCAGGAAACCTTTGCACTTTGTAATTAATTTACCACTAGATTTGATAGATTTTTTTAAATCAAAAGTTAACATCCACTGAAGATAAAGATTTTATTTTTTGATAATTATCACAGATGGTGAGAAGCATTTATTTCCACAATGATGCGTGATTGTGGTTCAGTCATTACAAGCGTATTGAATGTTGACAAAAAGTTGATTGCCGGCCAGTAACGTAGTCAATGTGTACATATTATGAACCACTAAAATCCATTTGCATCTGTGACCACAACACTAAACTGGTAAATTATTCCAGAAATGTGTTTCTATTCAGTTAGATTACCTTCGTCCCAGTGTTAAAGTAACATTTAAAATGTCAAGCTACCAAGGTATATTTTAGCATAGTGTTTCCGAGTCAGATTGTTTACCTAATTATGAAAGTAATTTTTCCAGAAAAATGTGTCTCTCTGTGGAGACCCCATTACGTTTGTGTATTTGCTACTCCCACTTCCTAGTCTGACACGATTTCCATGTAATTTATTGTCGTTTTCAGTCTTTGACCAGATGCATTCTATGATGTGGTTCTGATCGCCTTCTGTCTCTCAGCTTTTCATTGCCTTGAAAAGTGGTTCACAACCACTGGATTATAAAAATAGATCCAGGTGTTTCCACTTCCAAAATAGAGAAAAGGAGCAGAAAGGTTTCAAAGGTTTAGGTAGAATTGAACTGAAAACTAAATAAAAGACAGGAGAAAAGACATACTCTGGGATGGAGAACTCACATCTTTCTATAAGAAACCTTCGATAAAAGGGCCTAATTAAATCATGAGAAAGGAAGCTGCCTAAATAATCAGCCCTAACCAATGCTGTTTAAGGAGACCTGGGTTAAGGTGTTTGGAGGAAGCTGGAGGTCAGAGACTGAGTAGAAACACAGGAAAAGTTTCCTTTTTAAAAAAAAATGACGATAAATAGTTTCATTCCTAATTTTTTTGTTTTGTAGCAAGGATTGCTGGAATAAACCGGCAATCATATCTATTACATCCTCCTTGGTCAGGCACAGGCTTGATACTGGGCTCCAGTTTCTAAAATTTGACATAGTGACATCGCCACCCTCAATGCATCGTTCTCTTGCAATCTTCAGAGCAACTTTTATGTTCAGTGAATTCTCAGTTTCAGGTAGTGTACATGGATCTGACCTCAGCATCTGCTGTACAGTGATGAGAGTTTTAAGATAATAGGGGTCTCATGGCAATTCTGCTTCCCCTTGTAACCTTCACCACAGATTGCCTTATTCTCCAGATGTGCTCACTGCCTGGCAGATGGGCCTAGGTTGCCTGGACAACAACCCAATCCACCTGATACGTAAGGCAAGGATTGAATGCTTGGCTGTTGATGTGAATTTTCCAGCCCTATTTGCAATAGGAATGGCGGTCAGGATTGCAGGACAGCACTGTGGTTTTGAAAGATATAAAACCGTGGTGGCGGGAGGTGAATTTGGGGGTTTATTGTATATTAGCAATATCAAGCTTTTTTTCCTCATAAGGAACCTCAATTTAATATTGCATAAGATGTTCTTTACTATAGGTGGGAAATAAACTGAGCACTATCCAAGGATAATTATTATTACAATTATGTAGAGCGAGAGATCAGATAAATCGTCAATGTGCTCTGGTTATTTTCCATTCACAGAAGATCTTACGCAATATTAAATCAGATAGCTTGTACCTGACTTTTCGCAACCAGTAAAAAAAATGACACAATCTGTATATTATGCAAGGGACTTATTTTACCACTTCAAAACGAACATTGCTTCTAGCTTTCTGTGGCAGCCTCTTGCTACAAGTTGCAGGGGATTTGAAATCCAGGTCAGTTGGTTATATAGCCAGTTTATTGATTGTAACACTAGCTTCTTATACAATGGGGAAAAAAAACTACATTCCTACATACTTTTGACAATTTTTGCTCTAGGTGAAATTTGACAGGCATATGAGATGATTGTATACAGTGGATGGGCATAAGAACAAGGTTTGGCCAAGTAGACAATAGACACAGAAACTACATTGTGATAATATCATGGCGCAGAGGAGATAGCGGCAGATCTCATCCAACAGCAGTTTTGTTCTTGCAGGTATCAACACTAGCTATTACCCCGACCACATCACTCCCACTCTCGCTCGCCTCCACTGGCTCCCCATCCCCCAGAGGATCGATTTCAAGATCCTCATCCTCACCTACAAGGCCATTCACGGCCTTGCTCCCTCCTACCTCTCCAACCTACTATCCCCCTACCTACCTGCCCGTACCCTCCGTTCCTCCGGCTCCGGTCTGCTCCACGTCCCCCGCCCCAATCGCCCTACCATTGGTGGTCGGGCCTTCAGCCTCTCAGCCCCGAGGCTCTGGAACTCTATCCCCCAGTGCCTTCGCCTTGCTTCCTCCCTTTCCTCCTTCAAGGCCGGTCTCAAAACCTTTCTCTTTGACCGTGCCTTCAGCTCCCCTCTCGACTCTCTTCCCCCTTCTCGCTCCCTCCCATCCCTCCCCTCACCCTGACCATTTCCCCCCTCCTCGCTTCCTCCCCTCCCCTGAACATTTCCCCCCTGCTCGGGTCATGACCCAACTGTGCAGCGCCTTGGGACGTCCTCCTGACGTGAAAGGCGCTTTATAAATGGAATCTTGTTGTTGTTGTTGTTGTTGTATTGTTTCTTCCTTTCCCTCCCTACAATTACAGTACAAAATATAGTTTACAAAACGTGAGTTGCCTAAACTTTAGTGCATGGACTAAATCATTGTCTCTTTCCTTCGATGTGATATATTGCCCACTCTTCACAAGATCACACAAGATTGGTCTAGATAAAGACCAATTTATCTTTGGCCCTTTCAATCTAATTGCTCCACAATACCCATGTTACAGTCTTCCCATCACTTCATCAAGCTGATTTTCAAATGAGTCCAGCATCCTGGCCTCCACCACCTTTCTTGGCAACATATTCTAGTCATTGAGATCACCCTTGTTATGAAAATACCACCCACTAGCATTCGAAAATAAAACATGTAAGTAAATCATCTTAGTAAATTATAGACTGCTTTCTTTATCCTGAACTCCTCAGTGGATTTTTTACAATCATTCTTAACACCATAGGCACAAAATCATCTTCAGACAATGCAAGCTCATTGAAGCCTTAATTTAGTGGAGGAAGGATATTTCCAGCAGTTTTGACAAGTTCAGCTGGCCATCTTCATAAATGCTGAAGAGGTTTGGCAGTCAACTGTAGCTCAGAAATGCTCATAAATAAGTCGAGTTGCCTTATTTTGCCTAAACTCCCATCTTAGTTACTATTTATCCGTATGCAAAACTGCTGAGGTATAAATAGTTTGTTCTGCTCTGAATGATTTGTATAATATAGATTAATGTTATTGACATCATGGCGGTTTGGGGATGAGTATCATGAAGAGAATACAAATGCCAGTGTAATTTTACAGTAATAATAGATAGACCTTCAGTTTAGATTAACTAAGGTGCTAAATTTCCATTTTAAGTTCAAACACAATAGTGCCATAGATAACAATAATATGAGGGTGTAAAAGCATGTCAATATTGCTGGCATTCCTGTTATTCATCAGTGTTGTTGCTAAGGTTTTTGAAATCCACATGTTAACTGTGAGGTTCAGATAACCCAATATTTTATTCTGCTTGGTTAAGTAGCTTAAAATAACCCTGGATTTTATTCTGCTTGCTTTAAAAAGCGAGCTACAAATCCGCCAACATGATTTGAATAAATGCACCTTATTTTAGTGCACCATGTAAATAGCTTATTTTAAATCAATTTTAAACAAGCTTTGCAAAAAAAAAAGGTTCTTTTATAATTTAAAACCCAACTAGAGAATACATGAAAGGTTTTGACCCTCAGGCTACTGTAATCCTTTGAAACACAGCAGCAATTAAGTCATTGGAACAATTTCTATTTTCTTGCAAGGAAATAGTGTTGTTTTTCATCTGCATTCGATGACGAAGTATAATGAATACTGCATTTTAATTGCAATTCATATGAAAAATTATAATAGTATTTTAACAATTTTCTTCACCTAATTTATTGTAAGGAAAACTGCAGTGCGTTCAATATAACATTCTTCTTAGAAAATGCAGTTGAAAATTCATGAAGAACCCCAAGGATGAATCACTATTCATGCTAAGCATAACAAGCAGGTCATGCAGAGATACAGATTGATTAACAATACATGTAGGACTAACCCTTGGTACAAAGTGTAATTCTTCATAGCTTCAGAGTGTTGTGAGTAAGCTCATTGTTTGCATTTAAAACACGTACTTGTTGGTGAACTTTGAGATGCCAGGTTCATTCTGTCAACATCTTCTACGTGAGTGGAACAAATTGGGTGCCCCATATTAATGTGCTTGTAGAACATCTGATTAATGAAGAATCAATGGGGGAGAAATCCCAACTGGGTTTAGATTTATTCTCATTTATGGTGCATTTTGGAGCCTCCAGAATTTGGCAAATTGGTGAATTCAGTCTTAACTTGGGAAGACAGTTTTCTGTAGCTCTTAAAAGAACTTACAACTTTTCTACGTAGCATTTATATAGCACCCTTCACGTGGGGTAGCTATGCTGCTGGAAATGTTAGCTTTCCCCTGGGAGGCCACCTTATTTTCAACCATCTCTCCAAGCTTGACCACCTTCCAGAGGCAGATTGTTGGAAACTTTGTACTTCTCCAACACCGCTGTGCCACTTCCTATTGCATAAAGCAGTTGATGTTTTCGGTAGAGGCAAGTGCACGTGCCCTCCTTCAACAGCGCTGGGGGAGATCTACCTTGTTAGAAGTACCATCTTTCGGG